CCCCCCCCACCCACCACCACACACACACACAAATCTTACACAAGTCATAATGCTGGGCTGATGCCACTCCAACTGTTGAAGTCTTCTCCCATCCTCATTATACAAACTCCTATCTTACACAATCATTAGAGCAACCATGCTGACATAACATCAAAAACTTTAGTCCTATTACTAAGAATGCTCAGTAATTAGCATAACCTTAAAAGCACACTGAAATAGTAGTTTGGCTGCCAGTTCTCTATTGGTTATTGCGTGCAAGCAGGGAGAAGGTTGAACAATATCAGTAAGCCCCAACTTCCACACGTGCCATTGGACAAGGAACTTTCACCATTGGTCTATTGACTTGTGAAACTTAAAACTTATTATACAAAGTATATCAAATTTGTGTCATGCATATTCTGTTTCATGGCAAATCAGCTGTTCTCTTACGAAACCTAAACAAACTGATGACGTTTTGTAACCTAAACAAACCGATGACGTTGTGTAACCTACATGTTACCCAACCTGAAACAGATACCCTTGTCCCCTTATAGCCTGGCTGGACACAGTTGTGGATATCTCTGTATAAAAGATGTGTTTTGTGCATCCAAATATTAAAAAAAGTCAACATACAATATGTCTTTTACACTTTTAGCATACTCTAATATTAATTGTATAGAATGTTTTGGTTTGTGTCCCCATATTTGTGTCAGAATGACGTCAGCTTGTCTGTTTTTCTGCTGATTAATTTGTTGTCCAGCCGACCTTGGTTTGGTTTGGTGGAGGCTCTTGGTCAAATTCTAGGCCAAGTTCTTCTGAGGGCAATTTTGTCATGTTAATTATCATCATTCTAGTCTGAAGATATTTTGCCACTGGAAGTAACAGTTATTATCACATAAAACAGTTGAGAAAAACACAGAGAAATAATCAGGAAGTCAACCTTTGCCTGTTTTGCCTTCCTTATTTTCAAAATTTAACATTTTGTTGCTTCTTTAATTGATACTTAATTTATTCATATTCAAATGATAGTAAGAAATGAATGAGCTACAATATAAGAAATGTTGTGAAATTTTATCATATCATTATGACTCTTCTATGCAGAGAGTAGGGAGTTACATACTGTGGCTGGTGGCCAGTGTCATCTCGCTCCTGATTGGTTGGTGTGAGTTTGATTGACAGGTGCATGTGGCAGTTGTGTGTCCCCCTGAGTTGTGACATTGTTGCCAAGTGGAATAACACCATGTAGCAATGCTGAGGCCTGGAGCTCACAGGGTATCCGGTTACACTGCAGTCAGGGAGGATTCAGTTCTAATGCACTAATACTGTAGAAAAACACCACATTTCATCAATTACTGCAACTTTTAACCATTATTATCAACCATCACTGAATGATACAGTCAAAAGAGCTCATAGCAAAAGGAAAAACTTTGCTATTCTGTTCTTAGTCTTATTCCATTAAAGAGAATAACATGATATCATACATGGAAAATGAACACCCCCCCCATTCCTAATGCTCAGAGTCTTTTGCCCTTTTATTGCTTCTGTTAAAGCAAAGCACTAGTCCTCTTTACAATAAGATCTACTTTGCTGAATCAAAAGCTTTGCAGGATTGAAATACACGAGTTTAGCAAGCTTTAATTTCTTGGGTGGCAAGATTTTAATTTTTTGGCGTTGTGTAACGTGACAGATCACCACCCCTGCAAAATAGTCTAATTATATCCCCCTGCACCTGCCACTTTTACTAACCAATCCCAGCCCTCCTTACATCCGTCACAGCTGCTATAGACCAATGAGAGACCGTGTTACATCCCGCCTGGGGGGTATATAAGGCTGCTAACAGCTGCAGTAGTCAGGAGGTTCTCTGAAAGCCCGCGTGCCGGGCCGCGGAAAAGGAAGACCTAACCTGTGTCTGTCCTCCGGGAACAATGGAGTAAGCCCTGCGTACCTCCGCAAAGGGCAGCTCCCGCCTCGAAATAAGAGTAATCGGGGACGAAGAGAAGAGACGACGACTAACGTCAGTCTACGAAGCAAGGAAACTTTCTTTCCGGATCGATCAAACTTCTGTAAAAAAGTTGTTAGGTTAGGTTTTCCTTTGTGTGCTGAGTGGAAAATCATCAATCGTGCTGTGTGTGTGCTGTTTGTGCTACTGCTACTGCAACTATCTATCGACAACGCTTGGATACCGACTACGATTCGTGTGTTCTGAAGAAGGTAACTGTTCCTCCTCTCTTCCCTTTTAGAATTTATTCTGTTTTATACTTAAATAGATGCCTTCTGTCTGAGTAAGATGCCATGATAGCAGGGTTAAAAATAACTGGCATTTTTCCTGCTGAAAAAATATCAATATGTTTCTTCATATGCTTCCTTTTCAAATGTTCAAAGACAGTCCCAGTGTAAGCATTACTGTAGCTTGTGCTGTAGATGGTTCGTAGGATCTAAAATGATGACAAAACATCCAGTGCTAATCCAGAAAATAATTCTTCCACGTCCGTCCAAATGTAACATGATACATCATAACTTCACCATAACATCATAGATAGAAAAAAACTTTCGGTAAGAAAAAAAACAAGCCCTGCTCTTTACTTTGAGTCTTTCTCTTCCAGCTTAGCTCTCAGTTAGCCCATTATCCCCACATTATGTCTTGTTTGTAAGATGTGTAAGTACAGTGTGAAATGTAAGAGCCCCCTCCCCACGTGAGGCAATGTCAGGCATGCGGACCATTCTGCCTCTCTCTATTTATGGAGAGCCGCTCCAGCATTCTGTCTCCGTCATCTGAAACTCGATCCCCGCCTGCCATAACCCTGCCGTACTGCACCCAGAGTTGGGACATTTCAAGGAGATGACTAGCGATAGATTCAATGATTTAATAATGTGGAACAGTTGAAGTTTCAAACCTTTCAATCACTTTTTCCATAGCTTTCACATCTATCAATTTGTTTTTATTTTGCTGTCACAACTGAATACAAAGCAGTATAGTGTTAAGTATAATGTTACACAATATATTGATGACAATTTTTAGAAAAGGACAGTTTCTTTTCTCTGTCACTGTCATTTTTTAAAGTTCAAATGTATCAAAAGGACAAGATTAAAAGAGGGCAGGGAGAAAAAACTTGAATCTGATACTCCTGAAACTGTTTGTACCACCTAGGTACAGACTTTCTCCTCAGTCTGTTTTCATCTTCCAGTTCAAAACCTTCTATATCTGTGAAGCAACTTAAATCAAATTGGTGCTATCAGTACAAGCTTCTTCCCTACCTTAGAAGTCTACCCTACTCTGTCAGATATTGTCTCATCTTGATCTGCACATTCTGTCCTTTATCTGTCCGAAACTTGACACCCATCCTCCATTGCTGGGACGAGCTGTACCCATAGATGGATGTAAGGTCATGTTGGGGAATTCCATAATCCACAGCAACAAAATTATGAGTAGTGACAATACTGAAGGACAATTCAGTTTCATAGCAACTTTCCAACAGAGAGGGCTTAAATTTAATATTAACTGCACTGTTCTCTTGTTTCTTTTATTGAAGAAGTATTTTATCTGTATTTAAGTTAAATCTCAACGTCGCAGCTGTCCACAGCAACAAAATTATGAACAGTGACAATACTGAGGGACAATTCATTTTCATTGCAACATTCCAACAGAGAGGGCTTAGATTTAATATTAACTGTACTCTTCTATTGTTTATCTTATTGGAGAAGTATTTTATCTGTATTTGAATTAAATCTCAACGTCCCAGCTGTCTAACCGTGTAACCAATACAAATTTGGTGCCAAGTAGTTATCTTAATTAGCATGAAAGACAGGTGAACAGCTTTGAACATTCATCATGATTGTGAATGATTCATAATGTTTATATAAACCTCAGGTCTCAGTGTATCTGACAGTGTGTTTTTGTAGTTGGTTTGGGAAGAAGCCAACGTTGTAACTATGCCATAAATAAACATTAATCTAAAGAAACAGTCCAGGAATTTCCCCACGCAAGGTTTTCCTGTTTCTGATAATTGAGTCGTGGGAGAACATAGTTTTGGATAAAAACTGAGACGGCAGTTTTGTGTGAAGACGTCTTCTTGGAGTTTCTTGAAAGATCTGGGCTGAAACCATCATGTTTACGTCTCATGTGTTCCTCATAGTTAGACAGCCATTGAAACCAAGGGTTGCCAAGGATACTACCCAGTTTGTATCAGGATTACTTCATTTTAGAAGTTTTGTAGCTTTCTTTCTGTTGGAGTTGTACAAGTTTGTGGGGGGAAGATATGTGATGAAGAAGTATGATTGTATTTTTTGTGGAAAAGTGCTTTCTTCCTGAATTGTGACATTGTCTTAACTTCTCTTTGGAAATTTTCTGTGATTAAAAATATGTTGATAGATTGTATTGTACAAGAACAAATTAAGTGTATATAGATCCATCTGTATTGACTTACATGTAGAGTATATGAAATGGTCGGCAGTTATGCATTGTGATAAGTTCAAATGTCATGTTGGGACAGAGAAATATTTCATATGTTGTAATACCTACCAAATATAAGGTACCTACATGTTTAAGATATGCTTCTTGAAGACTTTATTCAAACCTACTTTTCTTGTTTCAACAGAGTACCAGAGCCGCCAATCATAAGAAACATGGAACCGCCAAAGTTCGTCCAACCAATCCGAAGCATCGCTGTTGTTGAGGGCAAGCGAGCAGAGTTTGAAGGACTTGTCACAGGTGAGAAAAACTTACTTTTCCTTTAAAGGCATCCAGTGCAGTTTTTAAGGCTTGGAAACATGATTTTTTAAAGTCAATATTCTAGTCACTTATCTGCATACTGAGTTGAAACCACACTACCCCTCATGGAGCAAACTACCCAAAATTCTGATGAAAAATGGTTACTGGAAGGGCCCTTGGCTGATTTTTAGGGTACCTCCCATAAAATAAAGGACTCATCTTGGGGCTTGTTTCTCCAGTTTTAAGTACCCAAAGTATGAAATAATGATTGAAATGTGTTAATGTGAAGCAGTATGTGTCATAAAGATTGCCTTATTCAGAATATTTCCAGTTTTGCTGCCCTGAAATCGCATTGAATGCCTTTAAGACATGACTTTTTTCTCCAAGAAGCTGGCTAGTCTTGAGCGGACAAACCAGAAAATAAGACTTTCCTCAGTCCACCCAGGTGTAAAATGGGTACCTGACTTCGGTTGGGGAGGTAAAAGGCAATTGAAGAAGAGAGATGGGCTCCACCTGCCAATACCCTGTCCAGGTTGTTAATGTATTAACAACATTCTTCACCTACAGCCTGAGAAATGCTACAGGACTACTAAGTACCTTTAGCTTTAAGATATTCAATAGTTTCCCTTCAAGCTGTTGAGTCTTTTCTGTGCACTGGAGTTGAAAAGACACAGGTCAAATGATATCTTGAAAATGAAATTTTAAGTTCTCGAAAAAAATTGTTGAAATGGCTGCAACTGTTCCTGACAGTACTGTCCTCAGCAGGGGATTCAGATGGATCCAGGCAGCTGGTGTATCATGTTACAGGACAGGTGTCAGGTTACACAGCTGGTGTATCATGTAACAGGACAGGTGTCAGGTTACACAGCTGGTGTATCATGTTACAGGACAGGTGTCAGGTTACACAGCTGGTGTATCATGTTACAGGACAGGTGTAAGGTTACACAACTACTTCTCATGTTACAGGACTGGTGTCAGGTTGCACAGCTTACAAAACACATGTCTTTGGTAGTAGGTTGGCTTCTACAATCCACAGAGTCTTCAGTTAAGTTATTTAAGAACAAACCAACCAATATTAAGCTGAACATTTGTAAAAGGGCAACTCCACTTCTAGTTGGTGACTTTTGGCTTCTTTACTTCTGGCAGGACTTCCAAAAGATGAAATGACTCATCTTAATTTTTGTGATGGCTTGTCTTTCTAAAGGTCACATGAAAGTCGCAGCTGTTTGATTTGTTCCTTATTTGACAAACGTGTCAGCGTCTTGGCAACTCCTTATCTTTTGAAACTTGCAGGCTGCTTAAAGTCTTTAAGTAGCCCCAGTTTCTTCCCTTTATCTCAAGTATTTGGGTTAGTCTTGAGTGTGGTATTCTGGCTGAAGGGGTTGCCAGCATAGCTGAGCAGTGTAACAAGATCTCTGTTGCCCAGTTTGTAGCTTTGTACCAAACAAGAATCAAGTTCATTATTTTTACATTGTCAGATGTTTCTGACAGCATTTAGAGCAGTGGGACAGGTGCAAAATGATCTTTGTGATGACAGTCCCACTGTGAGAGAAACAATTTGTACATGTACTGTGATGTAGTTCTGTGCCAAACAAGAGTCAACTTTCTGTGTTTTTCAACACTGTCAGCTGTTTTTTACGTCATTCAGAGAATTGTTACAGGCTCATGTATAATCTGTGATGCCAACTGTCGACTGTAAGTGAAGTTATCCATACTTTACTAGACCCCCTCCCTCTTTGTAAAAACAGCTGTTACAACGCTACAGCAAACTGTTCATAAATCCACAGAAGGCATAAGAAAATGGAAACTCAATGGCTAGCCCACTACCCTAGCAGATTGTTCACCCAATTTTGTTCCAAATTACTGTCCATAATCTCTTACAAAGGCCTGGTGGAGGCTATTTTTTTTGTCAAATCTTATTATCCATAACCCCTTACGGAAGGCCTGGTGGTGGAGGCTAAGACTTCTACTCTCCAAGCAGAGATTTAGACTTTCATGTCTTTTGGGGGCATATTTATTGGGCTTTCTTTTTTGTACCAGTTTTTTTTGTTTCCACAGACAAATGCTGGTAAATTGGCCAATTTGATACTGCCTTGCAACCACCACAAGATTGTCTCAGAGAAAGAAGACTTTAGCCTGCTTCTATCCCTCCCCCTTTCTTCCTCCCAAATTATGCCAAAATTAGTATCCCTAAATCCTTAGGAAGGCCTGGTGGAAGCTACTATTTTTGTCAAATCTTAGTATCCATAACCCCTAAGGAAATGGAGGTGATAGCTTCTATCCCTCCCTGCTTTTGTGAATTTGTCCACCCCTCCAATTTCCTGCTCCCATATTCCCAGCTGTTGACACATGTACTGAGGTGTGAAATTGCCTAAATCAGCCGTGAAATCGCCGGCTTGTGGCTCTGCAGCACCAGTGGTCACACTGGGGTGTCAAGTGGCCACAAATGGGCCACAATGAGGACCTGGTGATAATTGGTCTAAGCTGTGGAAAATGAACTCTAATCTGCTCACTGCACTTTTGTTGTGTCAGTAAAGTTCTGTATCTTGTTAGGAGGAGGGGCGAAGATGTGTAAAGGGAAATACATCCCCTTTTAGAACGTGAAAATTTGATTCACAATCTTTGTTTACATTTCTTGTGGCCATACAAATTGTACTAGAACTGAAGAAAATGTCTTTCTGTTTCCCCCCTTTTTTTTATTTTCAAAAGCAAAGTAGCTAGTTGGTCTTTCTACGTTTTAGAAATGTGTATTGCCATTCTGCTTTGAGTCTGTTATCAATAAATCTGAAACCTGGTGTTTGCATAATATTTGTTAGTTCGTTTTTCTTTCAACAGAATAGTCCTGGTCCAAAGCAAGAATTAAAAGTAATGGATACAACCTACAGTCTTATGTGGTGCATTCCCTAGGGAATTCTGAAAATAGCTTGTGCAGTGAAATGCTCGGATTTTCCAGCCAAATTTGGGAGACATACAACTCTAGGTCTAGACCTAGATCATAGTTATCTACATATCTATCTACATATCTATCCACATGTGACGACTCAGCTAAAAGATTGTCTGGGTAACTTTTAATTGAACAGTGCACTTGATTGGTTGCCTGTTTTGTAACACCGTTTGTGATTGGCTGTCTCCCAGGTGACCCCCAGCCAGAGGTTACTTGGTACAAAGTTGGGCAGTTAGAACAATGAATTTGATTGGTTGCCTGCTTTGTAACACCGTTCTTGATTGGCTGTTTCCCAGGTGACCCCCAGCCAGAGGTTACTTGGTACAAAGATGGGCAGGACTGTACCCAGAATCCCGACTTCGAGATCGCGTACATCGAGGGGCATGCGAAACTCGTGATCCAAGAAGTCTTCGACGAGGATGCTGGAAAATACACCTGCAAGGCCAAGAACCAGGCCGGAACGGCCGCCTCCACAGCTGAACTTGTGGTCAAGGGTAAGGAACACCCCTGTTGGTACTGTCTTAGTATGTGTTAATAATTATAATTATAATATTATTATAATTATAATTATAATTATAATAATATCGTGGTATGGTCCATGTCAAAATTATGGGGGAGTCACTACATCCCAGCATTTAACATTTGTAAATTTCTTGCACTGGACAAATTTTACCTGTAATACTAAGACTTTGAGAATATATGGATCATAATGAAAACTATTCAGAAAGCATTGCCATTATTTCTTTATACATGTACTCCATAGGTGGTAACGGTTAATGCAGCAAATGATAATCCCATTGCCATAGTAATACTTCTGTACATGTATGCAATGGTTGGCTTCTGACAGAGCCACCAAACTTTACAAGTATTCCTGACATCATGGGAGTGGAAAGAAAATAGCTAAAATAAAAAGGGGTTTAGAGTAAGATAACAGTTGCCATAGTAACACTTATTTTTTCCCGCAGCCGTGACGGAGCCACCAGACTTTACGCAGCGCCTGCAGAGCATGCAGGTGAACGAGGGCGCCGAGGTGAGACTCGAGGTCCGCATCTCCGGCGTGCCAACGCCCGAGATCAAATGGTTCCGCGAGGGTGCCGAGATACAGACATCACATGACTTTCAGGTGGGTAGTACCTCGAAGAACTGCTAGGGGGCTCTCTTTACATAAGCAGGATTTTAAAATGTTTACATGGGTTAAGTTCTTACATCAAATGGTTCCGCGAGGGTGCCGAGATACAGACATCACATGACTTTCAGGTGGGTAGAATCGTCTATAGAGCTCCCCTAGAAAATATGCCATATGATGATTTTGTAACAATGTAAAATTCCTACATGAAAGGATTTATAGGCAGCCCTTTAGAGGGATCTCTTTAAAAAATAGGATTTATGAATTCCTACATCAATGGTTTTGTGAAGGAGTCCTTCTGATCAGCTTGGCAAAAAGGAGTTTTTTCAGTTTCTATTTCTGGTTTAGTAAAGTTTACTAGGATTTTTAAATTCAACCCAGCATGTTTGTTTATCATGAAATTCTCAAGTTGGCCCACTGGCAGATTTTCATTAGGTCAGGGTGAGACAAAATATAACAAGATACGGTTTACATGATGTGAAATCCCGTCATTACAATAACAGTTAATCCATACTTTTCTTTCTGTCTGATTTTCTGCAGATCATACGTGAGGGGGATCTGTCAGCTCTGGTGATCCGCGAGGCCTTCTCAGAGGATTCTGGGAAGTTCAGCGTCATGGCATCCAACAGCGTGGGCCGAGCCACCTCTGCTGCACATCTCGTCATTACAGGTAGGGGCGTCGCTATACTGTCCTGATTTCTGCAGTAACTGTTGTTCTTTCTTTCTTGGTTCAAATGTCGTAATATTGTAAAGTTTGTCCTTTGTGTACTCAGCATTGCCTGAAAAACAGCTGCAATATCATATCCAGAACTGTGACGATCTAGTTCTATGCCTGAATAGGTTAGGGATATGATCGGGCATAGTTCTGGATATTCTGTATCGTATCCAGAACCGTGTCAATCAAGTTCAAATTCTATGCCTGAATGGGTTAGGGTTAGAATCAAGCACGGTTCTGGATAGTCTCTGCATATCCAAGAACATAGATTTGCCCGAGGCATGGTTCTGGATACACGTGGACTGTCCAGAACTGTGCCTTAGCAAGGTTCTGGGTAAACATGGTTCTTGATACAACAGTACCCATTTACCAGGTTGTTATTCTTATGTCACTTGTGTGTTATTGGCCTTACAGCTGCTGAAGAATCAGTAGCCATGGAAGCTACCACAACAGAACAAGTCCAAATCACACAAGCACAGACACAAGCACAACAGATGGATCTCGGATCTGTAAGTCACAACCTAATGCTTTTTTAGCAGCATAGCCTCTATATTTATCATGATTTCATTCCACTTTTTATGTGTTATCTGCATGTTTTTAAATGTGTGTACTGCACAATTTCATGACTTAGCAACGCATATTGGCCAAACAATTAAATCTAAATAGAGATAGGGTGTGATCAAACGTAGTCTGTGGGAATGCCCAACAAAGTTATAATCACAGTTGTGCAAAGGTTAGGTGCAACAGGTTGTTCAGTGTAATAATAATATAGCTCTTTGTACCTTCAAAGCTGGTGTGTTACTCTGAAGGGTGATTATACCGGCCATACAGATACAGAAATATATCTCTGTACTAAATCCTGTTCCTAACAATGTTTGTTTGTTTGTTTGTTTGTTTGTTTGTAGGGGTACGAACCTGGAGTGACCGAGGTGAGAGAAGCTGTTGTCAGCGCCGCGGCCAGAAGGGTCGTAGGCGGGGTACAGTACGGAGAACAAACCGTCTCCGCACAGCAAGTTGCCGTGGCCGAGGAAGAGCAAAGACGTGCGGTACGTTTCGGGTCAAACCTGGGGTTAAGCGATCAGTAACATGCTCTGATCTTTTATTTATCTATCTATTCATGCATTGTTTGGCTCAGGCACATATTAAAAGAGCAGGTAAAATTAAAGTATGCAAGCATGCAAGTCCTCTTAACAGCAAGTTTTCAAAGTACAAGTTCTTTTAACATCAAGTTTTCAACCCTCCTCTCCCAATTTGCTTTGAGCTAGAATGCACTTACCCTTCTAGATTGAGCCTTGGTGATAAAGACAAAAGATTTGGCTGCAGATTCTGAACTGAAAATCCTTGGGAATGGTAATCTCAAGTTTTCGCAGTACGCTTTAAGATAGAATACACTTGGCCCTTGTGAGAACGATGTCAGCAGCTTGCATGGTTGGAACTGGAGGTTCCTTAGCTTTGCAACTGGCCATAGCTACATGTAGACTGGCAGTTTATGCTCAGTTTATGCCCCTACAGCTAATATTAACACTAGAAAGGTAAGATGCTTCTATGTGCTAGGTGCTAAAGTTGCTGCACGCTGCTTTTTGCTTTGCAGATTCAAACGTCAGAGCAGCAGGTCACTGTAACAGAGCAACAAATGGTACGTCGCTATAACTCGCTTCCTGCTTTTCCCTATAGTCTTACTTAAATTGTGGACTTGACACTAGAGTTGTAACTTTAAGAAGCTTTAGTAGACTTGTACATATGGCTGACTGTGATGCGCTAGACAAGGCCTAACAAAAGTTAGGTAACTTTACAAGAATAAGTTCTGGGGGAATCAGAAAATTTCTTCTCATGTGTTCTTTCATTGTTGTCTTTTCAACAATCAGCTTTAGACTTGCTTTCCTGCTTCTGCGCAAATATGCAGCTTTGCTCCAAAAAGCAAACAAAAGTCTAACAGGTATATGCAGCTTTGCAGTGCTTTATGCTGACAGCAGGTTTCTTTGCTTTGCTTTGCTTTGCTTTGCAGATGCAAGCTTCTAGCACTACTAGTATGACCAGTATGCAGGCAACAAGTATGCAGGCTTCTAGTATGACTAGTACAACTGAGCAGCACACAGTAACACAGCAACAAGAAACGGTATGGCACAACAACTCGCTTTTATAAGTTGTCATTGCAAGTAGTGCTGCATACCGGTTCACTGGACTTGGATCCGGACTTGTAAGAATGTTTAGGTTCAAGTCCACAAAAACCTAAAAGTCAAGAACCGAGTCCGGACTTATTACCATAAAAGACCATTTCACATACCCCTTTTCTTTCCAAACCACCTGAAACCTTCCATAGATTGCAAAATCTTTGCTGCAAAATGAAGGAAACATTGCCATCGGGCATCTTCAAGTACCAGCCTCCATGTTATGTGGCCAAAGTTTCACCCAGACAACATTGCAAGGTTGCCAACATGCAAGTTTGTCTATGTCATGGGTTTATGTCCAGACTTACAAGTCCGGAACTGAACCTAAACCTCTGGACTTGAATACTGACCTGAACCTAAATGTGGGTTTAGGTCTGCAGCACTAATTGCAAGTTAACAATTTTCTAGTGGCTTGGTACAGATGTACAGATTGCTTGAAGTGCTGAAGATGCAGACCTACACAGGCGATTGCTGCTCAATATTTGCTGAGTTATTACTGCAATATGTGAGTGACCAACAAAGGCTTTCTAATGTTAGAAATAACTCAATGTAATAAAGAGTAGTGACTTTGCAGGTAAGTTTCAAAGAGGGTGAAATTTGGGGTTAAGCATAGATACATATTAGGCAATACAAAGCAGAAGCATGAAGAGTACAATACTGATGAGTGAGCAACAAAGGCTCTCCAATGTTAGAGAGAAATGAATGGAAAAATTAAATATTAACTTTGCAGGTAAGTTTCAAAGATTTTGCGGTATAGCCATAGACATATTACATTATACGTAGTTGGCCTTGAAGGCATTTACATGCAGAAGCATGAAGGGTATCATACAGACATATAATTGAATGTAAAGTAGTAACTTTGCAGGTAAGTTTCAAAGAGAGCAAAATTTGGTGTTAAGCATAGTTACATAGGTGTTACAAAAATGGCCATGAAGAAGCATGAGAGGTACATTTTATCATACCGACGTTTCTTCATCCGTCCGTCCATTCATCCCTCCATCTCTCCATCCGCCCGTGTAGCAAGCGGCCGCGTCAGCCGCGGCCTCACGCCAAGTGAGCAGCGGCGTGACCATCACCCGCGAAACACGGGAAGTTGGCGCCGCCGTGACCAGAGTGTCACAAGAGGTCGGTTTGGGGTCGTAGTTCATGGGTCATGTGTGTGTTTGTGTGTCTGCCCAATCACTGTGCATGTCATGGTAGGCTGTCTACCAATCAGGCATGTTTTCCATCAAACATTTGGTAAAATTTTGTCTAAATACAAAAGTAAGAAACAAAGAGTCTTGGATGCTGATTGCCTCACAGTCAAATGTTCTTGTAAAGAGCAGAAAGAAACAACTAAACAAGCATTCTTGAAGTCTGGCTGCCTTTTTCCTTCTAAAGAGGAGTACAAGAGGAGTAGTGCACAAGAGCTTGGTAGAATTCCTTTCCAGTCTAAGCATGCTGGCTTGTGGATCAGTAACTACTGCATCTGGTTAAAATTTCTGCCCAGAGTCTGCTTTCATGTTGATCTTACAATCTTGCATTTTTTAAAGTCTGACAACCAAGAAATTAAATTGGTGTCACCTTACATGTATGTGACATTATCAAAATCATGTCATGGTGGCTGCCATGAAAAGGGAATGCTGCATCTGTGTGAATCTTTGCCCAAAGTCTGCTTGATCTTCCAATCTTGCAGTGCTTTTCTAAGAACAAAGAAATTAAATTGGTGTGGCTTAATGGTACATTGTCATATCATGTTGTTGTCATCATCATCATCATCATCATCATGGCTGCCATTCCCCGCACACACAGACCTCCGTGAAAACTGCGCAGCGCCGCACGGAAAGGGTCGTGACCCGCGACCTGGCCTCCGAGAAGGTCGTCTCCGCCATCGACACCACGCCGATCGAGTGGAACGGCAAGAAGAAGCCGCCCACCGTCGCCAAGAAGGTCCGCACCTTCACCCCTGAGGAGCTGGAGGAAATCCGATCCCAGCGGGAGGAGGGGATGGTGACCTTCCAGGTGGAGGGCGGAGAGATGCTGAGGACCCAGGCCAAGGGGAAAGTCATCTCTGCGATCGAGAAGTCCCCCATCCAATGGGAGATTCGCAGGATGCAGGAAGAGAAGAGGAGGAAGGAAGAGGAAGAGAGGAGAGCAGCAGAAGCAGCTGCAGCTGCTGCAGTAGAAGTTGTGGAGGTTCGTGGGGTTGGAAAAAAATGCACGGAAACCTGGCAAAAATGGACTGCCATATTGGTCTATCCCATCCTGGAAAGTCTGAGAAGCATGACATAGGTTATAAAATGTTACAAAAGACCAGGAGTTGGATGCTGGAATGTAAAATTATACAAAAGACCAGGATTTGGATGCTGGAATGCTTGCAAGGGTCACAGAATTCCTGTCAGAGAATGATTCCTGCAGAAGGATAAGGGGAGAAGTCACAGGCATCATCTTGAAGACAAAATAAGGATAGGGAACAAATGCATCATCTTCATCATCAATGAAGATTGCTGCCTTACACTTTTATCCATTGTCATGTGCTGTAGATAGAAAATGATACATTTCTGTTACCATCATGATGTGATGTGTCTCCATTCCTTGTAACCAGTTGTCCCAAGAGTTTGAAGCTTTGCCTGGGGAATTCAACAGAAACTGTGGGAATCTTTAAGGATTTCTTACCATGATTCTAAGACGTCTTGTCCTCCTTCTTCAGGTGCAGATGGAAGTAGAAGAAGCACAGGCACCTCCGCCGGCCCCACCTGCTGAGCCAGAGGCCATGGAGACGGGAATCTCACAGCCCGTCTTCCAGAAGGTAAGGCAACGTCTTCAAGACTTTACACAATGCCTTCAAGACTTAATATAATGTCTTCAAGACTTTGCACAAAGACTTATCTTAGATACACACCACACAATCTCACAACCTGTTTTCCAGAAGGTAAGATAACTTCTTTTAAGACTTTAGACAACAACCTAAAGAATTTACACAATGTCTTTAAGACACAAAGACTTAAATCCACACCACACAATCTCACAACCCATCTTACAGAATCTATGGAAACTTCTCAAAGATTATTTACACAGTGATTCACGTCTCAAGAATTGTAGTACACACCTCCACAGGCGACTGCACTTTTCGGTAGTCAGATATCCTTTATTTTCTGATATGTCAAAATTGAGCCAGTTTTTCCCTGCTAATTATCATAAATTTGCATATTAGTGCTATTTACTTTGGTTTGCGTTGGACCGTTCATTAGCAAGCAGGCCAACAGCAGATTACCAACAAACGCACGGGAAGGACCCCATGCAGCAAGTGCACCAAATGAGAGCCATACAGCAACAGGTGCAAAACATGCAGCAGCAACAACAGCAACTGCAGCCACACCAAATGCAACAAATGCTACAATTGCAACAACAGCAACACCAAATGCAACAACAACAACAGCATCAGATGCAGCATCAGGTGCAGTCCACGCAGCACCTACAGCAGCCTGTCTTCACCATGCAGCAGGTGGAGGGGCTGCAGCAGATGGCACCCGTACGCACAGTGCAGCAGCTTCCAGGAATGCAGCAGCAAGTTACTGGAATGCAGCAAGTTCCTGGAATGCAGCAGCAACACGTTGTGTGCCAGCAGCAGCACACTACCGTACGCCACAACCCCGGGACGCAGCCAACACACTTCACCAACACGACTGGTTACACCACCGGCTACACCCCCGCACACGTGCTGGGGGAACAGATGCAGCCGGCGCTGGCAGCCATCCACCCGGCGTCGGTGATCCACATGGGCCATGCGAAGGAGCGTGTGTACAAGGCCCACCCGGAGGAGGTGATGGGGAGCCCGGGGCAGCGCCGCCGCGCTCTGATCCAGCTCCACGAGGGAATCCACGCAGACTTCGACGCTTGCATCCCTTACTTCCCCAAGGTACGGGTGGATGTGGTTCTGCTGTCACACGTCCATTCCACTGTAGAGGGTGCCTCAATTGTTGCACATCCATGCCTCTGTAGATGGAGTACCAGATCACTGTCATTCCCAAACTTCAGCTTTATAATGGTTCAACTGTTGCACATCCATGCCACTGTAGCTTTGCAAGATGCTAGAGTTGATCTACATCCATTCCACTGTGGAGGAGCTACTTTGTTCCAGTATTCACTCGTCATTCCCATTCTTCAGCTTTATTATGCTTCAACTGGTGCGCATCCATTCCACTGTAGATTAACCAGAAAATCATCAAGCAGGATCTTGGAGTTGGTCCTCTTCCATTCCACTGAAGAATTGTGGCGCACTCTTTTGCTTGTTAGGCATGTTTGCCATTCCCTAGGTTCAGCTTTGTGTCTCATTTTGTCTGTTGCTTCAGTATTAACCTGAGAATTATAATGCAAAATAGACTATCAGGTTTTTAGATTCCTGCTTCAACTGTGTTGACATCCATTCCACAGTAGGTGGAACCCAGGTGTACCAAATCACTTGCTTCAGTTGTGTTTCACTGCTGCACCATTATATTGAAGGATCAAGATTGCCATGAGTTCACCCATGTTTTCAGCCTTCACCACTGCACAAGAAGACATCTAGTTAACCACTGTAGCCAGCACAGTGTCTTGCAGACCATCTCAAGCATTCACCAAGCAACAATACTGGCTTTCTTCAGTCATTCCATGGTGTCTGTGGAACCTGGACATCACCAGATATGCTGCAAACTGTTCTATTGTCACCTAGTGAACAATCATGTTTCTATCATTTGTCTGTCAACAGTGAAGCATGATTTGTCAGCACAAAGCATTATGTACTGTCCAACACCCTCAAGCACCTAGTCATCGCTGGACTCATTTTTGTCTTCATCACTTTTACTGGAGTCCAACAGCTCTTTGCCTTTTCTGTCTTACATCTTGCCTTCACTGCACTCCTCCTTACTCTACCTACATCACTCTCACTTTCAGCATCTCAGACATTCACTGTCACTCTCACTTGCATCTTCTGCTCTGCTCTATGATTCAAACTGTCCGTCCCTTTCAGACTTGATCACAGTCTTTAATGGTGACCACCTTTCATCCTATTTTCTATGAGAGCATCCATGATCAATAGATGTCATACACACATTCAGCACTATTTATGTACACAACCAACTTCTGTAGCTTTCATTGTTTGTCTGATTCAGAGCAGTTCTAGAAGTGGAAAACATCTTGCCTTGCATGTACATTTTGTACATTAGGCCACACCAATTTAATTTGTTGGTTCTCGGATTTTTTCAGAAAAAATATGAAGCGACAGGGCGAAAAAAATAAAATAAAAACAGGTCTAGGCATCCTATTATAGGCTTAAATGCTACAAAATGAGCCATGAAGTCAACACAAAAGGCTGGGTTAAAATTTAAACATTGAATTTTGAACTTTTAATCAAACCACTGCAATGATAGATGGGAAAACTGTAACAACTAGGAAGAAAAGGACTTTCCTCAACTGTTGGGGACAAAACATGAGCATTTTTCAGTTCATTCAGGACCAGAATCAATTTTTTTTTTTTTTGCAAATCAGAAAAAAATGAAGAATCCGAGAACCAACAAATTAAATTGGTGTGGCCTTAGGTAACAAAAAGTGCCAAATCTTGACTGTGCATGCATACATCTCCCCAACAGGGGCTTGGAAGGATGTAGACGTAGTCCCTGTCCCTTGAAAGAGATGCCGCCTAGCCTGGCGAAGCTCAGACCTATTTCCTTGACATCGATCTTTGCGGTGACTGAAGGATTTCGTTGGACAGGCATACGTTGGACACTCTTCTCAGTTCTTGAAGATCTCATCTAAGACTGTACAGACGATCTGTCTATGCTCTCGCACACTC